GAAGTTCTCATAAACCTGAATCACACACACATCTTAAAACGAAAGTATGCAAATATGAAAAGGAAATTATTTACAGGATCTTAAACAAATCAGATTGTTTTTGATTTAAATAACATTTATTTTACATGACCAAACACAATAAATAACGTAATATACAAAGCTTTGTCGTTATTGCACATTTGTAAAATATTTTACAGTGAGTTCATACAGCCAGCAATTTCTGAAACACAAGTACTTTTATTTACAGTTTTCACATAATAACTAGGTCCAATGGACCCAACATAAGACGATTTTATGTTCATTTTTATATACCAACCAGCAACCTTATCGATCACTTCTAAGACATATTTCTATATATATATTTATATTTTGTATTTATATTTTGGAAAAAATGTAAACATTATTGCCAAAATCATTAACTCTACATCCAATAAGGGCAATTATACCAAACAATTTAGAGAAAAGGTAAACGCTGGTAAAAGAGTGTCGTTTTGGTCTATTTTGTTAGAGTTAAATTATATATTAATTAAAAAATTAAATATAAATTCCATGGACAACAGTCGACATTTTTCTCTCTTTTTCAATACATAAGTAGTCTCGTCAGGTACTCTTACTCTTACTAAAATGATTTTCTTCTCTCTCTTTTCTTTAGTTAAAAAAAATTAGATGATTAAAGTTTTCTAAAAATGCTATAAACTATTCCCTTTGTCAAGGTAGCCCACCCTGCCTCTTTCTGCTGCCATAGTGTGAGTTTTTTTTCCTCAGCCCTGCCCTAAATCCAGCAACCTGTCTCTCCAACTTAAAAATGGGAAAGAAAGAAAGAAAGATCTACAGCTCATTTCCACCGAACCAAATAGTACAGATTTCAAAATAATTTTCTGAATGTCCATTATCTGCATGTGGAGGAAAGACACACACACACACACACACACACACACACACACACACACACACACACACACACACACACACACACACACACACACACACACACCCCTTTCCAGTGTCTTAAGAATTGCAGGACATTTATTTCAACTATATACTGTATAAATTAGAGAGAATAGATGGGCCGCGATGTCTGCATCCACGCCATATACTCAGGACCTAAATAAGCAATAGCTAGTTATTTGAGGGCTTCAACTCTTCAGGAAAAAAAAGCAGGGTGGGGGAGAATCTCATTATGTGGAGAGTGAAGTGGCTCTGTTGGGAGCATTATGGAAATATCAGAGTTTGGTTTAATGAGGCTCTTCGCATTGGTGGCATATCAACGGAACAGGGAAAAATCTACCCGGGGCATCCAAGTTACCAAAATGAAAATAGGCAATTGAGATGATGATAAGAACCGTGGCTTTCTTGTGCAAAAACAAAAAAAAATCACTTCCAAGATAACAGATATAACATTAAATAACATGCATTATTTGCACGAAGAACAAATGTTTTATGTACCGAGCCTCTTATCTGTCTCTTCTAATGACTTCCCTTAGCGGGTTGTTAGTAGTTGACAGCAGGTCTCCGTGCGGGGAACTTTTTCCCCCCTCTTCCACATTCAAAGGAGGTCCATCAGAGAACATGATTGGCAATTTTCGTCATAATCTGCACATTATTAGCATCAAAATTGACACGGCAATAACGCCGGTGGTTTTTGATGTGTGCCTTCTTCAAGTTCACGGAAGTCCCTCCAACGGCTGGGGGTCTGGTCTCTCTCTCTCTCTCTCTCTCTCTCTTACCCAGAGGTGGCTTGTCACAACTAAAGGCGTGAAGGGGGAGGGGGGGGAGACGAGAGCCATCATTTCCTTCCCCCTTTCTTTTGGAAGGGAGAAAAATTAATAAAAACAAGAAAAAGAATCTGGAAGATCAGCGAGCCTTAACAATGCGCGTCACGTGCCAAGAAAGATTCAAGTATTTCCCAGATAACGTGGACTATGGTACTTCGGAACAAACGAGTCTTTTAAAAATAAAAATAAATACAAAACCCTTTCCCCAGACTGTCAATCTCACATTCCGTTCCCTTTTGCAACACGTCCGCCGTGGCCTAATTAGCTTCCTACTCTTTTGGCGGTCTTTCCTCCTTCAGAAATACACCAGCTCGTTTCCAGTTCAGCGGGACAGGAGGGAAAGGACACCTTAATAAAAAATCGCATTTTTTCGTTCCTCTAGTTCTGCCAGATTCTGCCCCCATTGACCACAGGCGTCTCTGCACCTAATGGCTTCAGGGTTTATTTACTCCGTCATCCTCAGACAAACTTCCACGAAATGCAGGGCCGGATTGCTTTGCTTTTAAAAAATAAACATCATCATTATAATAAAATTAAAAACAGAGATTATATGTTAAAATATGGTTTTGCAACTGAACAAAAGGTTAAGGTAGCCTCAAAAACAATAACATTATATTTTAAAAAATAAAATAAAGAAGGCCAACGCTCCGTGCCCCAAAGCAGCTCCCATGGTCGCCAGCAGGGGGAGCGGAGCGACACTTTGTGGGAGGTTGGAATGCGTGTAAGGTGTCTGGAGATCAACGTCCGGTTCTTTTCGACCCACAAGTCCGACCAGGTCGAGGGAAAGTACGCCAGAAATTAAGAACGTTCTAATTTTTGGTCCCTCAATGAGGCTGATCCCCATATTGTCCTCCAGTTGCCCTATTCAGCACTTGCCCCCCCCTTTTATTATTATTATTTTTTGCTTTCATATAAACAGAGGGGCTTGATTTGATCAACAATAATCATCGTTACTGTAATAATAATAATAATACATTTTCATAATTTAAAAAACCCCTTTTTTCCTTTTCCTTTTTTGCTAGCGCTCCAGTGTATTTTCCCCCCCCCCTTACCGGCCCCTCCCCTCGTACCAAAAAAAAAAAGGATCACTCCTGCCTTTGGCCACCCCGGCCCCACAGCGCCCCCCCTAGGCCGCCGGGGGGGGGAAGGCTGGTTATCTGGTCAGGGGGGCCTCCTCCCGCTGG